ATATATATATATCGTCACAAACAGAACTGCCCGGTAAACCGTAGGCAGAGAGAGAGAAGAGGACAACAAACGAAGGGCTGTGACAAACTGTTTCGTCAGAGTTTCACCGACTATTTGTTTTTGTTTGTTTTTGTTTGTTTTTGTTTGTTTTTTGTTTTGTTTCGTTTTTGTTTGTTTGTTTGTTTGTTTGTTTGGACAAGCCCTTCTATTCTGGGACGTCTCAGTCCGGTTACTTATCACCGGCAAGCAAGCATGTTTTTAGGGCAGATTCAATGGCTTTATATGAACTTGCAGTGGAGTCTCTCGTCTTTTGTCCCTCCAAAGGTCAAACTTTTTTTTTGTTTTTTCAAAGGTCAAACTTTCAGCTATATGGTGTTATATTATTATTATTATTATTATTATTACTATTATTATTATTATTATTATTATATTTTAAACCTGGGAAGGGTCTGCTAGCAGCGGGAGGGATAAGAGCATCCCCCTCTAGCGGCCCCGTCCCTAGATGCTCCGGTCTGTCATGGGGAGCAGCACCTGCTGGGCACCTGGTCCGGCATTCACCTATATTGAGTTTAATACAATTCAAAAAACTGGATGAAGTGAAAACACAGTGCTGTCCACACACGTACTGAGCAAATTCACCTTTTTGAAGGCTTTTCCTTTTTTTCTTTTTTTTCAACTTCAAATTCACATCTGTAAGAAAAACTTCAAATTCACATCTATTAAGTTAAACAAACTTCAAAAACATTCACCTGCGAAAAAAAAAAAAAAAAAAACACGCTCCAATTTCACATCTGTAAAAAAACTTAAAAAAAGCGACCCTCTAAAATTCACGTCCATGCTGAGGTTCACCAGAAGAAGATAGCGAAAATTGTACACAGTTTAATATCTCATCCGTGGTCCATCGGGTCACATATATTTAAAAAAAAAAAAAAAAAAAAAAAAAAAAAAAAAAAAAAAAGAACATACCTGGTCTTCAACATTAAGCTCCCCAGTCCCCTGGCATTCTGAAAAGGCAACACATCCAACAAGCGTCCAAGGGGATTTACAGGAAAGCTAGTTAGAAAATTAAAAATGTGGTTCAGAAATGCTGTTAAACGACCAGTACCTACCGCGTTTTTAGGCTGTTCACGCGGTGGCCGAATCGGTGCACCGCGCAGGTCCACATGCATTTGCCTCAGAAACCTGCCCAGAGGGAGCCTAAGACCCCCTGGGTGGTGAACTGGTGGTTTAAACCCGACCAGTACCTCCAAGCATCTCTTCGCCTCTACCCAGACTTGCACTGCACGCCCAAAAAAAAAAAAAAAAAAAAAAAAAAAAGGCGCCAGTGGCGCACTTTCTTTCCTTTTTGGGCTGGTACTGCCAGCCATTTTGATCCCTTTGCACTGTTCATCTGAAGAACCTGGATTGACGCAATTTCGACTCTCAAGTTATGCCTGGAGAAAGTACACCAAAAGAAAAGAAAAGAAAAAAGAAAAAAGAAAAAAGAAAAAGAAACAAAAACTATTGAAAAGCTACACTACTTGGCTCGCCCAGCCATGCAGAATGGCAGTGCTGCACCCTGGGCAAGTCGCCCGGGGGTCACCTGCATGGGGCACCCCTGTGCAAGCAAAAAATCAGCCCTTTTTTTCCATGTTTTGGTGGGGGTGGGGGCTATCTGCACATGTCCAGAGGAGCTCAAATCCGGGATCCTGTCTCTATTCGAGTGTTGGCTGTGGGGTGGGGGTGGGGGGGTATAAATTGGTTTTCAATGGTCTAAACTTCTAAAAGGGTTTAAAGCTAGGCTACCAGCCGGGCCGCCCGGGTCCCGGCTGGCCAGCCCGTGCAAGGACAAGGGAAGGTCCCAGCAAAAAAAAAAAAAAAAAAAAAAA